GGACGACAACGACAGCAAGAAACGGGCAGCTTAATTCACTGCTGAGCCTGCCCTTGTTCTCCGTCGCATATTCCCGACAGGTTAATACATAGCTGCTTCGAAATATATATATACTCCGTACATGAGTAGAGGAGAAGAAGAACAAGAAGAAGAAACCATCCAATGACAAATAGAACAATACACAACGAAAAATAAGATAGATATACCGAACATCAATAAGCCGATAGCTTAAAAGAAGATAGAGAGCCAAGCAGGGAAAAACAGGGAACCAAAGGACATGATGACATAACAAGTCGCAGCTCTTCAGTTCAGCCCATCAAACCAAGGCGACTCTCCGTCTGCTTCTCCTGGTTCCTGTTCCTGTTCCCTTTTTCTTTGCTTTTTGCCCCTGCCGCGCTCGGCTAGCGTTTCATGCAGGGGTGAGAAGCAGCAGAGTGAGAGATGGATGGACTCGCTCTGCTTTCTTCCTTTTTTTGTCTCCTCCTTTCCCCTTCCTCTTCCTTTCTTTTTCCTTTTTCCTTTTTTTTTTTTTTTTTTTTTTTTTGCAAAAAAGTTAATTGCGGGACCATGGGAAGGAGACGAGAAGAAGAGGAGGCAGAAGAGAGGCAGAAGAGACGAAAAAGCTGCAGCTGCAACAGACAAACTGGCGGGTTTCACATCTGCGTTCTCCCTTTTCGATGTTATACTTAGTTACTTAAGCACGTACGTACATAAGCATAACCACCGTCTCGGGAAAAGGAAGACGAAGGAAGACGCAGGAGGATGAGCCAAAAGAGGGCGGACGAGAAGAGCTGTTTCACCTCCACTATGGAGTAGACGGAGTTACTATTTCACTACCTGTTACTTGTTAGAGACCAGACAGAGGCAACATTTGATGCACGGTCAGGCGCAACGCTTTTCGACGTCATGGCTTTTTACCATCATGATTATTTTTTTTTTGGCATGGACGCTTTTGGTCCGTCCGTTTGTAGTAAGTAAGTATACAGAAAACGGCAATCAGAGATAAAGTAAATGATGTCCATGCTCCCCTTCGGCCAGAGAGAGGACAGAGCAGAGCACAGGTCATAATAATAATAAATAATCACGAGAATAGTGATATCAGCACCCAATAATGATATAATCTTATTATTCCTTTTTTGCCTTTTTGGTCGTTTAAGTGAGGAATAGGCGAGAATTGCCCGCTTCATGGTCCGTCGTTCCTCCGTCCATCCCCATCCGTCGCCTTCTTTTCAGACAAAAAGTAAAGGATAAAGAGGACGAAAAGATGGAGAAGCGCCTGGCCATCCACCCTATCTCGACGGGAGCCGCATTTCAATGTAACTGCTTGATATCTCTCATGTAACTGACCGGATCAGGTGGCACTTTCATCACCAAGAAACCCCCATACATGGGCCATGCATCATACTTGCATTTCCATGCTCCATCCCCAGACGCCGACCTTTTTTTTTTATCTTTTTTAATAGAGTACGGAGTACGGAGTAACACTGGGTATCTATCTATCTCGAAGTTCGCCGATGTCTCACTGCATTCTTCTCGCTTCGTCATCCGTATCTAATAATGGATATATCGTCTCTTCCTGCTCAGGCTGAAAGAAGCAAGATGCTTAAATCGGAATCGGAGTTGGACATCCTGGTCCAATTGATATCTCAACCAAGTATATCGCTCTTCCCCGTACTTAATTAACCGACTTATACATACTATGCATCCCGGATGATATCATCGGCCGCCCTGCACATTTCAGCTAGCTCACCGCAAGACATCAGGCGAGCACGACAGTGTTTCTACATAAATTATGATATTTAACGCAATATTGCACGAAATTTCTGCCGTTTCAGCCAAATGGAGCTTTGAGCTTGAGCTCGGGACAGAGAAAAAAACGAACGAAGGGGGCAATGGATGCACGGAGGGAGGATGGGGATGAAAGATGGACGAAAAAAGAAAAGGATGAAAGAACGAAGGAGGAGCAGAGGACACTCAGCCGCTCTGCGCACCCAGACAGACAGGACAAGACGGACTTACGAGTCGTGGCTTTTTTTTTCTGCGTCCCGCATGATGCACGCTGTACGATGTATGGCGCCCGAGCAGCGCCTGTCCGTCCGCCTGTCTCTCTCCGTGTTTCCTGAGGAGTGGGCTACCTTATGCATACCTGCTATGTTATGTATAGGGATGTTACATATATGTACATACGCGTATGGGTGCATTGTAGTGTATGTAGCATCCCCGGGCTCTTCCCTCAGCCTTGGTTACACAGTGGTGTCTGCTTCAATGGAGCTCTCTGCAGGCACGCCGTCTTACCTTAACCGCATGCATTATCTATAACCTTTCCACTTCCATATTCATCCACGTCTTCCGTCGTCGCTTCGGTCCTTTTTTTCGCTCGTTTCTTATGCAGTTTATTCTCGTTCCGTACTCTGTGCAACCATGCATATGTACGTATGTAGAAATAAAAGGGGAGCATACGCCGACCCATCAACCTTACTTATCTCACTCTCCCTATGTTTCTGCCTCTTGTCTCTCCTTTCTTTGTACGCCTCTCTGTCTCACTGCAGCATGTCTGGCCTGGCCCTAGGCAACCCTCGAGCCAGTATTCTAGCCTCGCGCCTCCCGAGCAGCTCAACTTACACAGCAAGATGCGCTCCCCTTCTTCTTCAGCCTTGTCCGCCTTGATGTAAAAAAGAACGGGACAACCCCCCAAGTAAGCTTCTGCTACGGCCGAACTTTGCCCGTTTTGGAGTGCGCCAGCTTTTTACATAAGGATGGCATAATATTACACATTTGCACAGGGCTGAAACTCTGCACGATATGTACAAAAGAAAAAAAAGGGTGAGAGATCGATATGCACCTCATGATACTTACTTAAGGGGTACCTACTTTTGTGCCTTTTTCCTTGCCAGGCCAGACTACTAGTTTGACGCCGTGGCAGCGCTCGAAATTCTCTGATTGGCTGATTAAAAAAAGTGTAACTCGAGGCCATTGGCCCAGACAGAAGGAATTATTTTATTAAATATATACGTCCTTCTTTTTTTCCCCACTAATCCCGACTAATAACTAATGACGGAGATCGAAATCTTAAACAGGGAGGAGATGATTTTTCTTTTAAACAAAAGGGCATAGTGAGAGAGAAGGGCGAGACAATTGGAGGGGCTCTTTCGTTTAATTAACTGACTAGCTAGTCATCTAGCCTTGCGAAGAAAGGTAAAGGTGAAAAAGAAGCTGCTTCAGCGAGATGGGCTCGGTCGTTTGGCGTTCGTTTGGAGAAATCTTATCGGCCTTTTCCGACAGGGGATCCGTTCCTCTCTCACTCTCGCTCATCCGTCTCATTGCCCGCTTCGGCGTTCTCGGGACCGAACTCTTGCGCTTTTCCAAGTTCTTGATTCTTAATTTCACAACGCCTACACACAGACATTGTCTTTTCTTCTTTGAGGCGTTTAATAGACGAATTTCATGCAGCGTAGGCCGAGGCATGGCGCCGGCATTTGCCTTGAAGAAAATCTCCATCTTCCTTTTTCGTTCACTGTTGGGTGGTATGGTATCGATGCAGTAACAATTTATCGGTGTGGGCGCTTGGCTGGGCCTTCTAGCCATGCAATGCAACATGTACCCTGTTCCGGGCGCTTCGCCCAAGTCATGCAGTCGCAAGCGCTCCCTGCATATAAGTGATCGGTCTTTTATTTCGGCATTAGGTGACCAGATCGCCGGATACTGTCGATGACCATATGAGGGCAACGGAGCTCCTGCCGACGAGCAAGGATGGTGGTAAAGTAATCTTTTATTACACATATTATTATATTCTCCTGAAATCGAGGGCTGAATTGCGTCAGCGAACATGTCTTTCTTAGCTGAGGCTGCGTTACAAAAGGAGGCCCATGTACATCTGCGTTGCTCGGCTGTGCCTCAGAACACTCGTCGCTTGTTTCAATTGGCCATCAGGTTCGTTTGACAAGCGTGTTGAGAAACGTGGTTTGTTTGCTTTGAAAAAATAAAAAAAGGGCTGATCTGCGTTCACCCATGAGTTCGTTAAATTAGTTAGAGAGCCGTGGAGCGTTGCGATTGGCCCCCTTAACTAGCAACTCCAGACATACCTCTTCTCTGCTAAAATAGTTAGTGGAGGAGGGCGGACTGGGATTTCTCATAGCCGTTGAAGTTCGCCCTTGAAAAACCAGCCTTAAAACGGGGCTAACGTTTCTGGAAGGCGACTTTTAATTTCTTTCGTTCGGGGAGTTTGTCGCTGTGACCTAGGCAGCTGACGATCCCATATTTTTATGGAGTTTTCGGTTATACTAAGTTAAGTGGTCAGGGTGAAGTGGTTCGTCGGAAGAAAAATTTTCTTCACTGGTTCTCCTTTCTGTTGCTTAGCGCCATGTCAAGGCATGTTTGTACGTAACGGTTTTTGCTTGCGTGCGCTCCAGTTGAAACTGTCACAGTCTTTGCAGGCCCCCCTGAGCAACATTCCCCCCCTCATGTGAACAGGACGGACGTCGAGGTGTGACAAGTTTCGAGCCTCCCATAGTAATCTCTTCCCCTGTTCACTTTACCCACCATCATTGTAACGGCGTCAAGTAGAGGTGAGAGCGCATTTCGAATGTTCCGGGTTTCAGCTGAGTAACGTCGATTTGCATTCTCCATAACGGAGCAACGTTCCGACGATTCCCCCTCCCCGGATTGACAAGACTTCGTAGGGCAGGCGTGGCGTGATGAAGAACGAGTATGAAGATGCGTTCTCTTGGCTCCCACTTCCTGTGCAACATAGCGGCTTGCATAACCCGCATAGTGCTGGATCCCTATCCCTTGCTTCAATATACGTTGTGAGTGTTAAAGTGGGCTTGGCGAACCGTTGAATCCCAAACCAGAGTTCAACATGTTTCTGAAAATATTAAAAAAAAACGGAGTAAGATGTAGGAAAAACTCTTTAAGGAAGGAGTTCATAGTATCACCGTTATTCGTCGTATTCTTGTGGTGCTTGAGTGCATATCCACTCCTCCATCAGAGCCGTCTCCCCAACGTTCGCTTTCTGAGAAGTTTCCATCGGCTTCTTGCGTTTAATGATTAGACACAGGACCCAGCCCCATATCCCAAATCCATCATACGTGGTAGTAAGGCCTAGCTTCTTTTTGTCTTCGGCGGCTTCGTTCGCCACCTCAACGGGTTCCTGCTTATTTTCAGCATTATTGTTATTGTTGTCGTTGTCGTCTTTGTCGCCTGGCGCTTCGTCGTTTGCAAAACGCATCTCCTCATCATCATCACTCTCCACCAGTATCCGCGTCTCCCCTATAGCTCCCTCTGGACTGTATCAGAAAACGTTAGTCCAGGGATATTCGAATTCAATTAACAAGTTTCAAACAAAATAAAAAAGCCGGAGTTTTCAAATCAAAGCAGATGAGAAAAGAAAAGAAATCCGTCTCTTTCTTGGGGGGAGGAGTAGTAGCCCTACAGAAGAAGATGTAGAAGAGGATGAAGATGAGGATGATGAAGATGACGATGAAGTTGAGGTGGACGACTCTGTAGTGGTGCGAGTAACAGTGCTCACACTAGTCCTGCTTGTGGTCTGTACACTTGATGTCAACATCAACTGTGTTGACTGGGATGGAATGTCTTTTTCTGGGCTGTAGGAA